GGAGTCAATGAAAAATCAGAAAAAAGCACAAATGATATTTAAAAAAATAAAGCTGTTCACAGATGTAATTCTTTTTCCCAAGAATAGAAAAAGTATCTGACGTACAGATAAAGCAAGTCATATACAACTCCAATGTAGCTAAAAGAAACTACACCAAGGCCTAGAATAAAATTACAGAAAGTCAACACGAAAACAAAATATTAAAAGCTGTTACAGAAAAAAAACCAAATCACTTATAAAGGAAAGTCCATAAGAGCTTGGAGTGACAAATGTCAAGCCCTAGAAGAGGAGCTGAGAAAATGGGAAGATATTCCATGTTCCTAGAGAAGAACCAGCAACATTGTGAAAATGGCATTCCCCAAAACTGTTATATAGAGTTTCAATGCAGCCCCAATTAAAATACCATTAGCATACCTCACAGAGCTAGAGAAAACTTGCCTCAAACTCATTTGGAGCCAGAAGAGACCCAGAACATCAAAAGCAATCCTGGGAAACAAAGGTAAGGCAGGAAGTATCACAAACCCTGACCTGAAATTATACTATAAAGCTACAGTGATAAAATCAGCATGGTACTGGCATAGAAACAGACCTGAGTTTCAATGGAGCAGACACAACTGCAAACACACTCAGCTGGTTTATCTATGGTAAAGGGGCCAAATATGTTAAATGGAATAAAGATCACCTCTTTAATAAATGGTGCTGGAAAACTGACTTTCCACATGCCAAAGGCTAAAACTAGACCCGTGCCTATCACCATGCACAAAACTATAGTCAAAATGGATCAAAGATTTAAATATTAAAACAGAAACACTAAATCTTCTGGAGAAAAATATAGGTAGAAATCTTAAAGACATCAAGATAGGTAGAGTTTATGAACACAAAACAAAGAATTATAGTTGACTGTCCCTCCAACAAAGGCCTTCTTTCTAGAACATACAAAGAATTTTAAAAACCAGGCCCTCCAAATTCAAAGACCCAATCCAAACATTGGCATCTGAGATGAATATACAGATGGCAAGTCAATAAATGAAAATATGTTCAATATCATTGATTATTCAATAAATGCAAAGTAAAACAACATTGAAATTCCATCTCATCCCAGAAAGAATGGTCAACATCAAGAAGTCAGTCAATAATAAATGCTGGAGGGGCTGTGGAGAAAAAGGAACCCTTCTCCAGTGTTACCGGGGGTGCAGACTGGTACAACCACTATGGAAATCAGAGTGTAAAGTCTTCAAAAAGCTAGAATTAGAGATCTCATTCAAGTCAGCTATTCCCCTCCTGGGTATTTTTCCTGAAGAACTGAAAACATACCACAGCAAAATATTTACACCCATGTTTATAGCAGCACAATTTCTCATAGCTAAATCCTGGAAACAACCCAGATGCCCATTAGCTGAAGAATGGATAAAGAATATGTGGTATTTTTACACAATGAAGTATTATTCAGCTATAAAAAGGATAAATTTGAGACTTTTACTGGTAAATGAATGCAACTAGAGACCATACTCTTAAGTGAAATACATCAGACCTGTATGTGCAAACATCAATTGTCTCCCTAGTGTGAGAACCTGAAAGAGGAAATGGAATCTGAAGGGTACAAAATATACTGGGAAAAGGGTATGAACTTACTGAAAAGGAAAGAGTTACTGAGTTGAAAAGGACAGGAGAGGGAGTGGGGAAAAGAGATATATCTATGTATGTAAGCAGGATGGTTTGGGTAACTATACTGTGTATGTCTGCTGGTCTATGGAAAGGAGCAGATAATTTGTTTTGCCTTCTTTTTTCAATTATTTGTACTTTTTCTCTTTTTAATTTCTTATACTTTTCTTTCTTTCTTTCTTCTTCCAATTTTACATGCATATATCTGCTAATATGAATAACTGGTTGAAGACAACACTATGTATTACAACAAATACTGTGAAATTCGTATTACTTTGTTAAGTGAAATTCTGTATCACTTGTAATTTTTTCTGTTTTCATTCTATTTTGTACTCTCCTTTTTTAAAAGTTCAAATTTTTTTAAAAAAGAAAAAAAATAACATAAATAAAATGAACTACTTAGGAATCAATGTAATGAAGGAAGTAGAAGATGTTACATTGAAAACTATAGTACTTTGGAAAAGGAAATTGAAGAGGATATCAGAAAATGCAAATATCCCTTGTTCTTGGGTAGGAAGAACCATACCCCCTAATTTGTTATACAAATGTAATGCAATCCTAATTAAATATCAACAGCATACCTCACAGAATTAGATAAAGCAATCCTAAAATTCATTTGAAACCAGGAAGAGACCTAAAATAGCAAAGGCAATTCTGTGCAACAAAGGCAAGTCAAATCTCTGACTTGAAATTATACTATAAAAATATGGTGATTAAAAAACAGTATAGAACTGGAAAACAGACCCAAAGATCAATGAAATAGACTAGAATATAAAGAAACAGCTCCAAATATACATGGCCACCTTATCTTTGACAAAAGGACCAAATGCCTCCATTGGAAGAATAACTTCTTCAATAAATGGTGCTGGAAAAACTGGCTTTCCATATGCCAAAGATTAAAAATAGAGCCATATCTCTCACTATGCTCTAAAGTGGAAATGGATCAAAGATCTAAATATCTTTCACGGAGAGCACATTGGCCAAGCATTGGCCGTGACTCATCCACATGGCTGCACTGACAAACGTTCTACAATCTGAGGTACAGGATCTCGGAATAAATCCTGAGGGGATTTCACTGACCTTCTCAGACCCAAAAGCTGCAACTCTTGTTGCACAGGTCCTGCTTTACCTTGGTCTTAACCATCCAGCAGAAAAGTATGAAGACGAAATTATAAGAAATAAAGCCATGCTGTTAAGTTGAGCTGTGGGGGACTCAGGTCAATAATTTCTGACATTGCCAGTTAAACTGAAGACCCAATGCTATTATGGGCTGCTGGACTCTTTTTGAATATTTTGCTGAGTTTACACACCTATAATATTCAATAACGGAACTTAGAAAAAATGGGGTATACAGATGAATGTCCATTTTGTATCTGTGTATTCAAAGTGGTTAGGATAGATTTATAGTTGTATTCTCTTAATGAATAGAATGATTTGTTCTAATGGTGTTTGTAAATAGGATCTCAAGTCTGCATCTTGTACAGCAATTAACCACTAAGAAGAATATATGCAGTGTGTTATTTGTTGAAACTGTACTTCCGATTTGATTTGAAACTGTCTCATCGTTGTTTATCAATAAAATTTTGGGAAAAAAATTAATAAAAAACAAAAAATAAAAAAAAGATCTAAATATCAACACAGGAGCACTAAATCTTCTGGAAGATAAACACAGAACCCTTGAAGACATAGGTACAGAAAAAGGCTTTCTAAACAAAACCCCAATGCAAGGGAATATCACAAAGAACCAACAACTGAGATTTCATCTTATTAAAAGATCTTCTTTTAATAAGCACAGCAAAAGAAGACACCAACAGAGTAAAGAGACAACTCATAGACTAGGGAAAAATTTTGCCAACTGTTTTCAGACAAAGTACTAATACTTAAAATATATAAGGAACTCAAAAACGTAGACAGTCTTCCCCAAATTTAAAGACCCAATCCAAAACTGGGTTTCTGAAATGAATGGACACTTCTCAAGTAGAAGTAGAAATGACAAATAAATACATTTTTAAATGTTCAACATTAAAAAAAAATGTTCAAAGTCACTTACCACTGAAGAGATGCAAGTTAAAATAACACTGAGATTCTATCTCACTCCAGAAAGAATGGCTATTATCAAGCAATCAACCAATAACAAATGCTGGGGTGGCTGTAGAGAAAAAGGAACACCTCCCCACTGCAGCTGGGAGTGCAGGTTGGTACAACCACTGTGGAAATCAATGTGGATATTCCTTAAAAAACTACAGGTAGAAGTTACATTTGGCCAGCTATTCCCCTAATTCGTATCTTCCTGAAAGAATTAAAAGCATCATAGCACAGGGATATATGCATACCGATATGCATAGTATACCCACATTCATAGTCTGCAAAGAGAAACAGTCCAAATGCCCATCAGCAGATGAACAGATAAGGAAGAAGTGGGGTTTTCTTTTACAAAAGGGAGTACTACTCTGCCATAAAAAGCACAAACTTGTGACATTTCTAGGTAAATGAATGCATCTTTGGATCATATTCTTAAGTGAAATAAGTCAGACACACACTTTCAAACATGGCATGGTTTCTCTGGTGCCAGAAACCAAAAGTGTAAATACAGACCAAAAAGTAATATATATACCGTAAAATAGGAAGAAGATGTTCAAATGGGAAGGGGAACTCTGGAGGGGGTAGGGTGAAAGGAAGGAAGAGAAAAAACAGAAGCACATAATCAGGAAATTTATTCATGAAATTCTAAACCCACTTATTACCACTTAATTCCTGGGAATACAAGTATCCTTGGGGCATTTCTTCATATAATGTGAGGTCGAGGTTAGAGAGCTTTTCCTTCTTCCTGTCAAAGACACAGTTTCATTACAATGCAGTAAAGAAAAACATAAAATATCATTTTAAAGTACCATCTAACCTATCAGTAACCTGAACTTCATAAGAACTTTCTTAAAGAGCTTTCAGTAGATAAGGAGCTCCATAGTCTTCACCCTAGATATGTCACCTTGTTTCTTTTAAGCAACATACCTCTAAGGAATAGACTTTATCCTAGAAAGTAACTAGTGCCCCTGACCCACTACCCTTTGGCTGTTGTCCAGGTTTTCCTACTTTTAATAGAAATCAAAACATTTTTAGGGCCAGCCAAATAGTTCAGCAGATTAAAGTGCCTGCAAGCAAACGTAGAGGCTGGGGGTTCAATCCCCCAACCTGCTGTGCCAGCCCCGCCCCCAGGGTGTGCTGAGACAGCAATCGAGACTGGGCATTGGAGCGCGCGCCTGTAATCCCAGCTCTTGGGAGTGTGTAAACAGGCGGATCACTACATGTCTGATTTAGTAGTGAGAACTTGAAGAACCTGTAGACCCTTCCCTAAAACACAAAAAAAAAAAAAAGAAAGAAAGGTATTATAATAAGAAAACATAAACATCTTCAAGCAGCCAAATAATCCCAGATTTGATCACTTGTCAGTAAAAATGTGTGGAACAGATTCATCTGATCCTATAACATATAAATAACTGAAGTCATACGTCAATGCTGGAAGCAATCTTACGGCTCCACACGGTACAAGAGATTTGTACAGATGCGGGAGTGAGGCCCAGAGGTGTGGAGTGAGCTTTGCAGTAGGCATGGGATCAACTAGGACTTCACGTAAGTTTCCCAGTCACAGGTACATACTCTTACATGATTCTTGCTAAGAAGATAGTCTCCTAATTTACACAAACTATTAGACATTTTATATGTGGAATGTATAGATAATTCTAGAGAGGAAAAAAATACCCAACATTTAATATTCAAAGAACAAAATACAATGATTTAAATACCGAAAAATGGAAGGTTTATGAAGAGGTGATGAAGCCTTGGGAAGGTTGTATTGGTTTGGCAACTTGCACAAAATGTTTTCTTTCCTAGCCACCTCCTTTGGCAGCCTCACGGTGGGCGGGGCAACCTAGAGAGGAGGCAAGTGTGTCAGTGCCTGAGACCGCCCTGTTAATGCGGCATTCCTGGACAACAAACCTCTGAAAAGGTACTCATACCTCCACTTCCCACTTAGCTATTCTGATATGAAGTAGCTTTTTGTAATTAAATTACATGTTATTCTAAGATGTTTTAACTATACGACTTCTCTTTGCAATGCCTTGTTTTTCTTAAACATGCAGCCCATTACCTCCTAATCAATGTTCTAGCAAACTCTAGTCTCAAATTTTACACAGTTGGGGAAACCTACACGATGGTGAGAGTGTGACTCAGCCACCAGACCTGGGTGTGTACGCCAGCTTTAACTGCATGTGCAGTTACGTGGAGAACTTACTGCTTCTTGGCCTTTTGGCTAATATCAGGTGTAAATTTATGTGGAAAAACAAAGTATCACTTTACCAGAGAACAAGTGATAGAGGGATAAAAGAAAGAGGAAAAAGAAAAAAGAGAAAAATCTTTGTAAGAGCAATCAGAGAAAAAAATGGGAATAGAGCTTTTTCAACTGGAAAGGGAAGGGCTGGCCAAATAGCTCAGCAGGTCAAAGTGCCTGCAAGCAGGCGCAGGGGCTGGGGGTTCAATCCCCAGGCCTACTGTACCAGGAACACTGAGAGGGCAATTGAGACTGGGTATGGTGGCGCGAGCCTGTAATCCCAGCTCTTGGGAGGCTGTAAACAGGCGGATCCCTATGAGTTCAGGGTGAGACCCTGAACACCCTGTAAACCCTTCCCTAAAAATGAAAAAAAAAAAAAAAACAAACCTGGAAAGGGGATTAAGAGTTGGAGCAGGAATAAAAAAAGAAGAATTGGAGCAATCATTATGTACTGCAAACATGTAATTAAAAATACATAATAAAAAACCTTAAAAAGATGAGGGCTCTAATCATAGGTGTCTTCAATTTTACCTGGAAGCTCTAATTTTAAAGACTATGCAGTTTCTAAAAAGAAAATTCTCAAACCATAAAAAGTAATAGAAATTGGTACTGAGAACTCAAGTAAAGCCAAAATCTTTAAAAGTAAATGTTTTCAGCAAGAATTAGTAGCTATGGGAAAAAGACACTTAGCTCCACTGAAAGATTAAAAGCTCTCTCTTTCTCAACTTCAGGCTTGGAAAGAAGAGAGAGAGAAAAGATTATTTCTATTTAGAAGGAACTATATCTTACAAGTTCTCAACTTCAACCTGCATTAAAAAAAATAGGCCAGAAAAATAGGAACCAAAGAAATTCACTTAAAATCACCACACTGTGGTGGCAGGTGACCATAATCCCAGAACTCTGGGAAGCTGAGACAGGATGATTTCAAGTTTGAGTCCTGCATGGGCAACTTATAGACTTAGACTCTGCAAATAAAAAGTAAAAAAAGGGTGGGGATGTAGCACAGTGTGAAAGCCTTAGGTTCTATTTCCAGTACCACAAAAAAGCTTCTCTAGATTTGTGACAGTACAAGAAAGAAGCAAACATAAATTCTTGTTAAACTTGTACTGTAACATCATGTAACTCAGTAGTGTCCCAAATTTTCTGACCAAGGAGATTATGGGTCCAAAGAGGAAAGTGATTGATGATGTAGAGTGTACCTAAG